TTCTTCTGCCAACCTAGCAGTTTGAAAGCATGTAAAAAATGCAAGTAGAAAAATAGGAACAATCTTTGGTGGGAAGGTAACAATGTTCCGAGTCTCACCTTTTGGCATTTTGGAAAATAGTTTGAGGAGTCCCTCCAATATTGGAACATTGCTATTATGACTCCCCTAGTCCTTCTTTTCATTAGAGCAAACATACTGAATTCCTGTAACCATTCTTTTTATGTTTTAGCCTCCAATTGCCTAATCGTCTTATCTGTACTCTTTCAGGGTTTCAACATCTTTTTTTATATTGTGTTGACCAGAACTGGATGCAGTATTCCAAGTGTGGCCTTACTAAGGCTTTGTAAAGCAGTACTAAAACTTCATGTGAACTTGATTCTATCCCTCTATTAATGCAGCCTAGGATTTCATTTGCTTTAAAGAGGAAGTCACATATCAATGTGATTTTTTTTTCTTGAGCAGTGATTACCTGTGGAATCTTGTAAATGCTCAGGATGTCTTCCATAACCTCACTGATAAAAGAATTGGGTCCCGCAATAATACAAACTGAATTTTGGTCAATGCTGCATTTATAGTTGGGAACAAATCTGCCTTCTGAAGAAAGAAGCTCCATAGAGGCAAGGTAGGTCCATGTTGCCATGAAATAACTGTTAGATAGCCCAAAACCCAGAGTGATATTTGGCAAGATCTGAGGAGTTTCATTGATCTCCTTTGTAGCAAAGATCAAGGATAGGATATGCTGGTAGTTCTGTAGAAACATACTTCAAGGGAGGTTAATGACCTTGTCACACACTTACATTTCCAAGCAGAGAATTTTTTTTACATTTCAAATTAAAAATCATTGTTAACAACAAGGTCAAAAATTAGACTGCATCCCACCCTTCAAGAAAAACAGTATAAAAATATTTGTCTTCGCTATTCCCTAAATTAAAAACTCATTTTGTTTTACATGGATTGGGTAAGTCATCAAATTTGCAGATGACACCAAGCTGACAGGAATAGCCAATGCTCCAGAAGACAGGCTTAAGAAAGATCTTCACATACTTGAATATTGTGCATTATCTAACAAAATGAAATTCAATGGTGAAAAAAGTAAGATTCTACATTTAGGCAAGAAAAACAAAATGCATAGGTACCATATATATGGTAGTAGTATGTAAGAGTAATAAATGTGAGAAGGATCTTGGAGTCCTAGTGGACAACCATTTAAATATGAGCCATCAGTGTGCAGCAGCTGCCAAAAAAGCCAACACGGTTCTAGGCTACATAGGGATAGAATCAAGATCACGTAAAGTGTTGATACCATTTTATAATGCTATGGTAAGGCCATACTTGGAATACTACATTCAGTTTTGATCACCACAATGTAAAAAAAAAAGATATGGAGACTCTAGAAAAGGTGCAGAGAAGAGCAACAAAGATGATTAGGGCACTGGAGGCGAAAACATATAAAGAACAGTTGGAGAAACTGAGTATGTCTATTTGATGAAAAGAAGGACTAGGGGAGACATGATAGCAGTGTTCTGATATCTCAGGGGTTGCCACAAAGAAGAGGGAGTCAAGCTATTCTTCAAAGCACCTGAGGGTAGGACAAGAAGTAATGGGTGGAAACTAATCAAGGAGAGAAGCAACTTAGAACTAAGCAGAAATTTCCAGACAGAATAATTAATTAGTGAAATGACTTGCCTCCAGAAGTTGCGAATGCTCCAACACTGGATGTTTTTAAGAAGATGTTGGATATCCATTTGTCAGAAGTAATGTAGGGTTTCCTGCCTAAGCAGCGGGTTGGACTAGAAGAAATTCAAGGTCCCTTCCAACTGTTATTATAATTCTAGTATCCTGAACTATATTTGAAAAAAGCAATATATAATACATTTTCAGCTCTTAGGGAATCATATTTTTGATAAAAACTGTATTTGGTTAATGAAAACATATATATGTTTTCTATGTGATCACATTTAAAGATTCCACCTTCCTTTCCATCATTTCTTCCTATTTGACTTCTTTCTCCCCTCTCTACTGCAGTGTAATTAAACTCCTTTCTCAACATAACAATAATCTCATGCAAGAATTCATAATTTAATTTATAAGAAAGTATATAGGATTCTCAAGTATCTAGGACTGATTCAAGTATTCCCCTAGAAGCAAATTGTTTGCCATCTGTTCTTTGTTTACAGTCATTACATAAAGTAATCCTCTTTATTTCTCACCTCTAAAACAATTATCCCTCTTTTCTGGATCCCTCTATAAAGAATTATTCTACATCATTCTTCTGGGTCATCTCAGGACCCTATTCTATATATCTGAAGAAATGAGTTATAGACTTGAAAAGTACATGGGATAATAGTGTAATTAAATTTTATGTTGTCATAAACCATTATAAGGATTATCCTTCACAAATGAAGACAGGCTTGGCTGGGTTTCTAACAGAACAGAAGATAATACAGAATTGGAAGGGATCTTGATGGTCTTCTAGTCCAACTCGCTGCTCAAGCAAATGGCTATCCAGTCTCTTCTTAAAAGCCTCCAGTGATGGAACACCCATAACTTCTGAAGGCAAGGCCTAGTTAATTATTCTTAAGGTTAGGAAATTTCTCCTTAGTTCTAGATTGCTTCTCTCCTTGATTAGTTTCCATCAATTGTTTCTTGCCTTGCATTCTAGTGTTTTGGAAAATAGTTTGACCCCCCCTCGTCTTTCTCGGAGTCCCTCAAACGTTAGAACACTGCTATCATGTCACCCCAATCCTATTTTTCACTAGACTAGACAAACTCATTTCCTGCAGTTGTTCTTCATATGGTTTAGCCTCCAGCCCCCTAATCATCTTTGTTGCTCTTATTTATATTCTTTCCAGAGAATCAACATCTTTTTAATAATATGATGATGCAAACCAGATGCTGTTACATCTGTTACCTCAACTTCTTTAATTCACTGAGGAATTCAAGCAGACTCAATGAAGAAAAAAAGTAATGTGGAACCATAGTATTTACATAATGGAAACAGTAGAAATGCATAGGCTAGTGTATTTCATTTCCCAACTGAAAAATTTAAATGTATCTCTGAAATTTCTGTTTAGGATGGGATCTTATCAGTTACAGGTATAAAGTACTAGGTTGGAAGTGGTCTGTCATGGAAATGTTTGGGCAGAAGCATTTGGAAATTAGGAAGCAGAGGTTGGATAAAATTCAGATATCTTTTAAGCAACACCTAAGCAAGTACAGTTTTACAAAGTTTATGAAGGTGAAACAAAGTGGAAAACCTTGTTATTAACCAGTTATCATGAAGTATGTAAGAATTATCCAAGCAGAGGAAGGATAATTGAAAGAGATGAAATTTAAATTTCAATCATTTCAGACACATTGACCCACAGTCAGCTGAGTGCTGGTATAAGTAAGAATAATAGCTACATACACAGGATCATCAAGGAAGTCTTCGGATGGAATTGTTTTGAAGGTAATCAGGTTGGACATTATGTAAATCAGATATATAATGCCACCAATGATGAGATCACCTGAATGATAAGACTTGTATTTAATACTAAGGCTGCTGATGGAGCATTTAGCATCATAGCATGTGAATTGTGAAAGCCATATTATCACCCATAGCTTGAAGAGTAACATAGCAGATCACGTTGCTATGGCTGTTTCTCTTGAGCTGAACCCAAAAATGTATAGCAAAAACAGCATCATTTTTCTGACTTTATGTTTGAATATGTTTAGGAAAAGGAACTATTAATAACATCAGTCTGTCTTGGTTGGGCTCCTGTTTTTGCTTTGCTGTTTGGAACCCTCTAGGGTCCAAAGGAATAAAATTAAACATGGTAAATTATAGAGCATAACACTGCTTGCTCAGCTGTTTGTGATATTGCAAAAGAAGATAGGTGATATTACCTTGGTGTAAAAGATTTGTAGCTCTCTGTGTAGCAGCAAGAAAAATCAACAACAGATTGCAATCAAAGGCAAAGAAGAGCAAATGAATAAGATAATGAGGGACAAAGAACAAGTTTACTAGCTCTGTACTGGTACAGACAGCATGACATCATAATCAATTAAAACTTTATATATTAATAAATCTGTCATATGCAATCACTGATACTTTTCCAATAGTTTATTCTTCTTCTCTGGCCAACCATCTTTTAAATAATGATCATATAATGGGTTCATTACAGAGGTGGGCTACTACAGTTCAGATTGGTTCAACCGAGAAGATAGTAATTTGGGTGTCCAAGCCTCTGAACTGGTTCTGTTGGTGGTGCCTGTTTTTTCTTCTGCGCATGCACAGAAGCAATTTTTCACTACTGCACATGCAATAGTGATGGAAACACCAACCATGGCCCTCATGGGTGCCATTTTTGGCTGCAATAGTGTCCTGCAACCATCTTCCAGCAAAAAGGTTTGCAGCCATCCTGAGCTCCATTTTCATGGGAAGAAGCACCACAGGCCAGTCCTTTGCTGTTTCCAGGGTGGCCCCATGGGCCAGATTTAAGCACCCCGTGGGACAGATCCAATCCCTGGGCCTTGAGTTTAACACCCTGGTCTTTACCATCTATTAATGTATTCTGACTGAAAAAGATCCACCTAGGCGACCTGACAGTGAATCTATACTATTTACTCAATAATCTGTCCTCCCACCCCCACCCCAAAATTGGATACTACTATCAGAATCCAATAAGGGCTTCTTAGCGTCTCAAAACCTCTGAATTGGATTTTGGTAACTACCATATTATACTTAAGCCTCCTTCAAAGCATTACTCATGAACATCCAAGACTATAAAAAAATCTAAGCCACTGGTAAACAAAATGCTGGACAAAATTGCCATGGGAAGAAATTGTACTTTATTGGTTGACATGGATATAAACCTAGACACATTCCAACATTAGACAAACATTTATTTTGTGCATTTTTGAAAAAAAAAATCTGGCTCAGTTTTCCCAGACTGCAAAGTCTAGCAGAAAAAGGAAACATAATATTGAGGAGAGTTTATAAGATTCAGAAACATAATTCAGGTTTTTTTAATAAGTTTGTCCTTTCTATTTAAATCAGGTCTCAGAAGAATAATATAGCATTTTGGGAAAAAGATGCAGCCAAGCAATCCCATTGCTGAAGCCAAAATGGAGAAGATCTCCACCACCACCATGTACTTTCCCTTGGTGCTGAGATAGGTGGGAACAAATGTTACCCAGACACTGCAAAAGACCAACATGCTAAAGGTGATGAATTTGGCTTCATTGAAGCTGTCAGGTAACTTCCTAGCTAGGAAGGCCACAGTGAAGCTGATAAAGGTCAAGAATCCCATAAAGCCAAGGACAGTATAAAACATGATGGTTGATCCTTCATTACATTCTAGTACAATTTCTTCAGCCATTGAGTGATTATTAGAATCTGGAAATGGGGGAGAAATTGCCAGCCACACAACACAAATTGTGACTTGTATCAGGGAGCAGGAAAGGACAATGAAGTTGGCTAGCCTTTTCCCCACCCATTTTTTTATTTGGGATCCTGGCTTGGTGGCCATGAAAGCAAGAACCACTATGGTTGTTTTACCCAAAATGCAAGATATGGCTACAGAGAAGATGATGCCAAAAGCAGTTTGCCGCATGAGACATTTCACTGGATCAGGCTGCCCAATGAAAAGAAAAGTGCAGAGGAAAGATAGCTGGAGAGCAATGAGAAGAATGTAGGTGATGTTCCTGTTGTTGGCTTTGACTATGGGGGTTTCCCACTGTTTAATGAAGATCCTCAGCACCAAAGCCGAAGTTGCAAGAAACAAGACAGCTACGGTGGTCAAAGTGATTCCCAAGGGTTCTTCGTAAGACAAGAATGTTATCCTTTTTTCAATGCAAAGATTGTGAGCTACATTTGGGTATTGACCTTCTGGACATTGTAAACAGTCATCTGCATCTGCAAAAGAAAGCATTAATATTTATACGCAGAGTTATGAAATGAAGGATCCTTGGTGTTCTCTTGGTTGTTTTCCTGCAGATATTTCATTACCCAACCTAGGTAATATCATCAGTTCTAGTGACTACACTGATGATGTTACCTAGTTTCAGTGGTGGGTTCCTACCGGTTAGGACCGGTTTCGCTGAACCAGTAGTGGTTTGGCAGCCTGGGTCACTGGAACAGGCAGCGAACCCAGGTATACCACGCCCGCGAACTGGTTCTCTGGGCGGTGCCATAAGCGCAACAATCTTGCATTTTAGTTCTGTGCATATGCAGAGCAATTTTAATTGCACTGTGCATGGGTGCACAGTGTGCATCAAACGCACCCAAAGCACAAAGTGCATGCATGCACATAAAGCACACATGAGCAAACTGACAGTAGTGCCTGCTGGAACCCACCCCTGTCTAGTTGGGATAATGAAACATTTGCAAGAAAACAACCAAGCTCAGAGAGCACTAAGGACTGCTCAAAGAAAACATTGTGGCCCAAATAACCTGTGAATGCAACTCCATTTATTTCTAATTAATTGTGTACATTTTATTTGTATTACAGCATTGCAACTTGAGAATGGGAACATCTACATGCAGAAAAGTAACCTGTATATGCTTGGTCATATAGAGACCAAGAATGTTGCTTGTGTCGATCTCAATGTCTTTTGGAGGATGGAAGGATTGTATAAGACAAAAGTTTATGTCAATTCAGAGTTTCCTAATTTATTTTTTTGCAGAGAAATATTGTGATACTTCTTTGTGAGCTCATCTTGGAATCTTACTTAACAACTGACTTATTTTATGAAAGATGAGTTAAAATCTATCTTTCTTCTTAATACCATGTTTCTCAGTGATAGGATTCATTTTTTTTTACTACCAGTTCTGTGGGCATGGCTTGGTGGGTGTGGCATGGCCTAGTGAACATGGTTTGTTGGGCATGGCAGGGGAAGGATATTGTAAAATCTCCATTCCCTCCCCACTCCAGGGAAAGGATACTGTAAAATCTCCATTTCATACCGGACAGCTGGGCCTAGGGAGGCAGAGAATAGATGGGGGGGGGGGGGTGGAGCCAGTCAGAAGTGGTATTTACTGGTTCTCCGAACTACTCAAAATTTCTTCTACTGGTTCTCCAGAACTGGTCAGAACTTGCTGAATACCACCTCTGGTGTTTTTCCGAAAATACAACCAACTCAGAAAGTATGTCCTAGCTTGATTTTTACACCTGTGCCCAATATAAGCCCTATCCCCAAAATAAGCCCTATTTAAGACCCCGCCCACTCCAGGTGCACAGGGAAGTACCTTTGGACAGTTGCAGCCATGCATCACACACCTCAGCCTATTTCCTCTGCAGTTGGCAAGGCTTTCCTGAAGGCCTATGTAGCCAATAACAGAGCTCTGGATTGATCCGGAGCTCTGTTATCAGTTGCAGAAACCTTTCCAAAAGGCCTCTCTAGATAACAGAGCTCCATATCAATCCAGAGCTCTGTTATCGGCTACATAGGCCTTCAGGAAAGTCTTACTGGCCTTGCTGGTGATGACATGCCCAAGTGAGGTGAATCAGTGGATGACATTCCTCCAACCCCACCACAAAAAAAAGAGCTGGTGCTTTTTTTAGTGGCAAAAAAATATGAGACAGGGTCAATTTCTGGAAAACACCATATCTAGGAAGAAGTAATCTAATTCCTTGGAGAAATTTCCCTTAACTCATAAACTTTTTCATTTTGGATATTCTTCATGTTCAACTGACAATTATTTTAACAAGAATTCCAGTTATTTATATTTAAAGATCCATGAATATTGTAATTCATTATCAGAGCAGCAGAAGAACCAATATTTATGTTCCATATCTATTTATGTGCCTGCTTCTCTCCAAAATGCACACACTCATCTTCTTGCTTCTTTATACCTAACAGTATCATGAGCCATGGTGGTGCAGTGGTTAGAATGAAGTACTGTAGGCAACTTCTGCTGATTGCTGGCTGCCAGCAGTTCAGTAGTTCAATTCTCACTGGCTCAAGATTGACTCAGCCTTCCATCCTTCCAAGGCAGATAAAATGAAGAGCCAGATTTTTGGCATATTGCCAAGTCTGTAACTTGTTTAGAGAGGGCTATAAAGCATTGTGAAGTGTTATATACGTCAAAGTGCTATTGTCATATTCAATTCTCTTCCTTCAAAGATGAAGAATAATAAAACAGAAGTGCTCAACTTTTCCTAAGTGCTCCCTTAATTTTAAGATAATTTTACTCTCACCTAGTGAGAAGTCTTTTCATCATGTAGAATTTTTTTACATCTGATTCTGCACATATGGAAAGTCAAAATCAGATATAATGTTGTAGCCTGTCAGCCACCAGCCAGTTCAGCAGCCAAATCAGAAGAGGTGGAGGCATGGGAGTCAGGGTCAGCTTCAAAGCAATCTGGGAGCTCCAAGGGGGAAGAGGGAATGGAGCTGACAAAGAGAGAGAGAGAGAAAGAGACAAAGCCTGGGCCATCCGTCAGCCCTCAGATGGAGAGTCAACAGCTCCCAGATCTGGAGGTGGCTGATGAGGAAGAGGAGGAACAGCTGGGTCCAGTGTCTGATGCACAGATGCACAAAAAGCAGAGGAGAGGAAAGCAATGGAAATCTATGGGCCGATCCTAGGGAAGGAAGTGCCACTGCTGCTAGCGAGGCCCCACCAGGTGTGGGTTCCTGACATTTCATTTCATTTCATTTATTGAATTTATAGACCGCCCAATCCTGGAGGACTCCGGGCAGCCAATTCTAACCTCTTCCGTAGAAGAGGTTCCACAAATCTACAGTGCCATTTAGAACTGGTTCCAGCTCCCCCCCTGCCCATCTGCACATCATCAAGGAGAAGAATGAGAGGAGGAATTCTGGGAGTTGAAGTCCACAAGTCTTAAAACTGTCAAGTTTGAACACCCCTGTTTTTTTTTTCTAAAGGGTTAGGGGTGCAAGGGTCTTGTAACTTGACAGCTTTAAGACTTGCACACTTCAATGCCAGAGTTCCTGAGCCAACATCATTGGAGAAGAAATTCTGGGACTTGGAGTCCACAAGTCTTAAAGCTGTCAAGTTTGAACACTCCTGGTGTTAGGGGTGCAAGGGTCTTGTAACTTGACAGCTTTAAGACTTGTGTGCTTCAAATGCCAGAGTTTCTGAGCCAACATTTTAGTTGCTAAGCAAGAGTGTTATTAAGTACGTTTCACCACATTTTACAAGTTGGCCATGCCCACCCAGTCACATGGCTAGCAGGCCACTCCCACCCAGTCACAGGGCCAGCAAGCCACTCTCACATGGCTGGCAAGCCACTCTCACAAAGCCGGACACACCTACAGAAGAGGTTCTAAAAAGTTTTGAAACCCACCACTAGACCCCACCTTGCACTGGGGATAAAAGGCAGGGGACGGAGATGAATAGGTGTGGCAGACAGCTATTCATCTTCTGCTCAGAAGGACTTGTTAGCCTGCCAGAGAAACATTTTGTTAGGGCTGCCAGCATTCCTAATAAAAGAATCTTTTGAGTTCATGTCAGCCGGTTTGTCATTTTGGGGTAGCTGGGTCAAAACATATAATGTCAGGGACAACAACAGGGGCCAGCAATTTAGATTTAGATGTTAGGAAACACTTTTGAAAAAAATATATAATACTGAGGTTGCCTTGCTTCAATGAAGCCAATACTCTGCATTCTGAATAACTGATTACATTTGAGAACAATACAGTGCAGACTAAACACAGATAGGTACACAATACTCCTGGCGAGAGTCAATAAGCTTTCTCCATTATATACATGGCACATCTTACCTACTCTGTTTGAAATTTTCCCCTCTGCACAAGGAAGACAATCATAGCAGCAAAACGGTTTCTCGTCTATTTTTTTCTTGAGGTAGCCTGGATAACAATTTTCATTGCATACAGAAAGTGGTAGCGCCTATTCAGAAATGAAACCAGGAGGGAGTTCAATAGTTTTGTTTTATACACTCGTATTTCACTGTATATATGATATTCTGATAAATCTGAATGAGGTTTTGAGAAATTCTATACATGGCATACAAATCCACATTTTATTAGATAGGAAACTTGAATGAATGTCACCATAATAACGTGACATTGTCTATATGTCCTCATGGAATCGTGCATTTCCTGATATAGTCTAAGAGATTTTCTGAAGGCTTAATTGTTCGAACTGGATTTCCCTCAAATTCCATTTTGGTCAATCTAATCAGAAAATATCCATGGAGATTCTCAAACATCCATCTGATGGGTTGTCCCAAAGGTGCTTTACAAAAAGCAACAGAACTTTCTTGGGTTTTGTCCTTGAAAACATTTGAGAAACCTTTAGTTCTTTGAGAACTGAAGAAGCTTCTTGGATAAGAAATGAAATATTTACAAGGGGAAAAAAAACAAAGCCCGGTTGTCTTTTGAAAAGCACCTTTGGGGTGAATCTGATCAGTAATGTATCCCATGATTTATAGGTGAAATTAAACCTTGGCATTATTTGCATTTTCACTGATTCCAGTCCTTTCTGTCAAATAGATCGTGAAAAGTAGTACTATAGAGCATTTACTCATGGGATACGGAGTTCCACTTGCATTTAATCAGCCTTGTAGAATATAAAATTATGAAACAGATCACTTTGTAAAGGTGTCAAAGTTACAGGTTAAAACTAAAGAAAATAGATGAAATTTCAAAACATGTGCAATTAGAATATAATAAAATTATAAGGTAGTGATTTACGACCTTTAATTGATGAAGAAGGAAAAATTTGAAACAATGAGGAATAAGATATTTTAACCAGTACCGTGTCTCAGCATGTAGCTTGTTTATTATTAAATAATTTCCAGCTTTTATAATTCAAAGACGGTTTCCTATGTACTTCTGAAAAGACAGTAAAAATTTAATAATGGAAGCCCTATATAATTGGGGGTCTAAGCAGGGGGTTAAACTAGAAGACCTTCCAACTCTGTTATTCTATTCTATTCCATTCCATTCCATTCCAATCCAACCCAATCCCTACTCTGTTCATTTTTCAACACATTTTATTGCCTTAATTTTATTACTAAATGAAGAGTCTCAAATGATAAAAGTGATGCTTGAAAATGGCAAGGAGGAGGATTCTAGACAACCTGAAATGTCAGTAGGAAATACCTGGTTGAACATGGTCGGCCAGATGATGTTTTCTTCAGAAATTATGAAAGACTCTTCTGGAGAAGCCAATGGGTCTACCTTTCCAACTTTGATTTTAAGGAAAGTTTGGTTTGGGAATGTGATCCAGTTGATGATATCAAATCCAGTTCCTAATTCCCCCTTTTCATTAAAGAAAACTTTTTCCCCAACACTGTTGTTAAATAAGACTGTTCTCAGGTAAGGATGGAGCTAAATGGAAGCAAATCAAACACAAATGTTTTGTGTTTGAATTATGTTGATTCTTTAGCTTTGTGTTTTAATTGTGCAGGCTGTCCAGGGTTACGTGTGTGAGATGGGCAGCTATATAAATTCAATAAATAAATAAATAAATGCAATTGATCTTGAAAAAATAAATATTCCTATGCTAAATGTACAGTACTACTTTTTAAAAGTTCTGGGTAATACTGTACAGGTGAATTATAATATTAATAAACATAATTTCACCAAAGGGAAATGGCTTGACAAAGCTTCAAACAGCATTATGAAACGGTGATTTAGTCAAATGCATTTTTCCCCAAATTGAATTGTTCTTACACAGCTCCCCCACACTGCTGTCATAAAAAGTGGACCAGGGCAAAGATTTGTGTAATTTCTAAACTATGTGGATACTGAACTTGAAATGTGCATTTTTCCGGTCAGAAAATCACCTGAACACATCAGGAAAGTTTGATCAATGTATCATTCTACCATATTTTTCAGAGTGTAAGACATAACCCCCCCCTAAAAGAGGCTGGAAATTTGGTGCATCTTATACAATAGCAATAGCAGTTAAACTTATATACCGCTTCATAGGGCTTTCAGCCTTCTGTAAGTGGTTTACAGAGTTGGCAAT